CCTGCAGGGGCACTGCTGCTGCTGCCGGGGGCTCTCTGGGCACACCGGTGTCCCCTTGTGTGGCACTGAGGTGTGGCACTGGTGTCCCCATGTGTGACACTGGTCCTCTTGTGTGACAGAGATGTCCTTGTGTGTGGCACTGGTGTCCCTCTGTGTAACAGAGGTCCCTGTGTGTGACATTGCTGTTCCCTTGTGTGACACAGGTGTCCTTCTATGTGACATTGGTGTCCCCATGTGTGACACCGGTATCTCTGTGTGTGACACTGGTGTCCCTCTGTGTGACACTGCTGTCCCTCTGTGTGACAAAGGTGTCCCTGTGTGTGAAAAAGGTGTCCCCTTGTGTGGCACTGGTGTCCTGGTATGTGACACTGGTTTGCCTGTGTGTGACACGGGTGTCCCTGTGTGTGTGACAGAGGTGTGCCTATGTGTGACACAGGTGCCCTTCTGTGTGACACTGGTGTCGCTGTGTGTGACAAAGGTGTCCCTATGTGTGATACAGATGTCTCTCTGTGTGACACTGGTGTCCCTGTGTGTGACAGTGTCCATCTGTGTGACAGAGGTTTCCCTGTGTGTGTGACTCAGGTGTCCCCTTGTGTGACACCAGTGTCCCTCTGTGTCCCGGGTGCTTTGCTCTCCATTTTGCTGCTGAACCCCTTTAAAAGGCAGATTTGGTTTTCCTCTGAAATTCAAAAGCTGTGTCTAAACTGGTCATTATCCACTTGGAGTGTCACTTACAGGTGACATTGTCACTTGGGAGTGTCACTTACAGGTGACATTGTCACTTAAATCCAAACCTGGTGGCACAACTAGCCGGAGGTGGCTGGAACTGAGGTGCAAAGCCCTGAGCTCCTCAAGGTGTGGAGTCATTTGTGTTAAAGGCTCCCAAATCACCTTCAGAGCCTGCAATCACAGCTTTGGTGGAGCAGAAAGGGAATTTCAGAGTGTGGACTGTGGCAGGTGCCTCCAGCAGCTTCTGTGTCCCTGTGTGTGGCTCTGGTGTCCCTGTGTGTGACAGAGCTCACAGAGCTGGGGCCCTGGGCAGCTTTGGGTTTGGTTATTTATATATAAAGTATATAAAGTTATAAAGCAGCACCTGGAAGCCAAACCATGGATGGATCCAGGTCCCACCAGGTCTCCAGAGCCTTTTGAAACGTGGTGGCTGGGGCCAGGTCTGTCCTAGTGCCCTGTGAGGTGACAGGAGCCACACTCTGTGGGTCACAGCACACCCTGAGCAGGATCTGGGGATGGGGAGGAGGATTTTGGGGATTTGAGGAGGATTTGGGAGGAGTGGCACTGCCCCTGTGTGGGGTGCAGCTGCCTTGTCCCCTCCGTGTCCCTGTGATGGTGAGGACAGGCTGGGGACAGAAGGGACAGCAGAGTGAGGGAAGGAGCAGCAGGGCAGCGTTGCCACACACCTGCCCAGGAGCAGGGAGCAAAGTCCTGGGGGCTGCTGGAAACCGGCTGGGATTAACCCCTTGGGCGCCAGGGCCTGCTGGGGAGGGCTGGGGGCTGGTGGGACCTCTCAGGTGGGCTGCTGGGCTAGATCTATGGGGTGCTGCTCTCACAGGTCCTTGGGTGCTGCTGGCCCTCATCTTTGGGGTGCTGCTGGTCGAGATCTTTGGGGTGCTGGTGGCCCAGGTTCTGGGGTGCTGCTGGACCAGGTCCTGGGATGCTGCTGACCAAGGTCCTTGGGGTGCTGCTGGCTCAGATGTTAGGGTGCTGCTGGGCCAGGTCCTTGGGGTGCTTCTCTCCCAGGTTCTGAGGTGCTGCTGGTCCAGGTCTTGGGGTGCTGCTGGCCCAGATCTTTAGGTTGCTTTTCTCCCAGATCCTGGGGTGCTTCTCTCCCAGGTCCTCTCAGGGTGCTGCTGCCCAGCTCCTTGGGGTGCTGCTTTCCCAGGTCTTGGGGTGCTGCTGGCCCAGATCTTTGTGGTTCTTCTCTCCCAGGTCCCTGGGGTGCTGCTGGCCCAGATTTGTGGGGTGTTTCTCTCCCAGGTCTTGGGGTGCTGCTGGCCACACAAGGCTCCTCCATCCAGCACCTCTTGCCCTGGTCTTTGCTACTGTGGCTGTGCCCTGGGCTGTGGGCACTGCCAGGGGACAGCACTGTCACTGTTACTGTCACTCACCCTCTGCCTGCTGCCCCAGGGGTTTGGGGACAGGGACACCCCACCACCCCTGGGTGAGCCCAAGTGGGTTCCTGGCTCCTCTCCTTCCCTTGCCAGCTGCTGGCACCTCCCTGGCATTTCCACGGCCAGCCCAGCCAGGACAGCAGCTCTGAGGGCACCAGATGACCCAGCTGTGCCTTTCCCTCCATGCAGAGAGCCAGGGGCAGCAGGATGGCACCAGCCAGGATGGCACAGAGAGCAGCCCAGCTCCAGAGAGGCCCAGGGACAGCCTGCCAGGGCAGCAGCACGTGCCAGGTTGGTGTTCCTGCCTTGGTAGAGCTCTGTGCAGCACAACCAGGGCTGGGGCATGGAGCTGTTGGCACCTCTGCTCCAGCCCTGGGTGCTCTGGGCACTGCCAGAGCCAGCTCTCACTGGGTTTGTGGGGCTGGCTGTGGTGTGCAAAGGGGCCAGGATCTGCTAAACTGCAGGCACAAGGGCAGGCTGGTGCCCCTGGGCTGGAAAATACCACCCTGGAAGGTCCCTGATCCATGAGGGGATGTTCTCCCGTGGCTCAAGCCACGTTTGCAGCTTCCTTGGCACTGGGATTCACAGCACCAAGCCCTGGTGGCACCTCAGCCCTGGCTTTTTTCTCAGCCCTGCCTCGCTGTGCCCCCTCGAGGGCCCCTGGCTGTGCCCTGCGGTGGGCAGGGTGCTGCAGGGAGGTTCCTCCTCTCCTCCTGCTGCTGCTGCTGCTCCAGCCTTCCCCAGGAGCAAATATGGTCACAGAGCGAGTGCCAGTGTGCCAGCCTTGGGCTGTGTCCCTGCCTGTGCCACTGCTGCCCTGGGGGCTGTGCCAGTGGGGCATCGTGGGCAGCAGAAAGGGGGAATTCAGTCCTTGGCTTCATGGCATGTGAGCAGAGCTGCAGTGCCTCAGTTTCCCTCTCCAGCCTCACCCTGGGCATGCTCATCCCCTGTTCCAGCTGTGCCCTCCACACAGCTGGGCACCCCTGCCCTGCCCAGGGCTCAGCCCTGTGCTTCCCTTCCAGGACCTGGGCTGGCTCCAGGCCCCGAGGTGACCCAGGTGACGAGTGACTCTGAGGGGGACACGTTCAGTGACACCCTGGAGCAGATGGAGCCTGAGAAGGTAACGGAGGAAGCGCTGGAGGCTTTGCCACCCCTGCCACCACCAGCCTGGGAGCTTCATAAAACCAGCAGGGACACCCTCCTGCTCCTCTCTGTGCTTTGTGTCACTCCTGGAGCCTGTCCCTGTCACTGGGGGATGCTGAGGAGCCTCCCCAGCCTCCTCATTGCTGTGGGGAGGCTCCACCACATGGGTGCCACCACCTGGGTTGTTCCCCTGCCACATTTGGTGCCATGCTGAGGCCTGTGGGTCTGGTGGAAGGAAGAAGGAAGCCCTCTCCTCTTTTTCCACCTCAAATCAGGGCACTCGCTCCCCTCAGATGTCACCTCCCAAACCACAAATGCCACCAAAAATGCCACCCCAAGAGAAGCCCTGCACTGCTGCCCTGGCATTGCCCCCCTGCCCTGGGATGGGAATTGGGGTCTCAGGGCCCTTCTCTCCCCTCTCACAGGCCGGGCAGATGCGGGGGCTCCCCCCAAAGAGCCCCCAGGCCGGGGCTGAGCCCCCAGAGCCCCTCAGTGCTGGGCAGGGCGAGCGGGGCGAAGGCAGAAGAGCCGAGGGGAGCAGCAGCAGCAGCAGCAGCAGCAGCAGCACAGCCCTGCCAGCCCTGGGCTCCGACACAGGTGGGTGCAGAGCTCGTCCCTGTGCCCCCTCCTGCTGCTGCCACCTCCATGGGCTGGCCTTGGGGGGTGAGAGGCTGAGTTTGGCTCCAGCACCCACAGTTGGGTGCTCAGGGGCTGAGGGAAGCCCCAAGTGTCCTGTGTGTGCATCCCCAAGCAGCTCAGCCCCTCCTTTGCTCATCTCCTGCTGTGGTACTGAATTGTCTGAGTTTGGAGGATGCAGGGACCTGTTCCCCGTGCCCAGCTCCTGCCCCTTGTCCTTTGGGTGTGGGTGGTGCCAAGGGTGAGCTGGGGTGCAGCTGTGACCTGGAGGCCTTGGGGACAGCAGTGCCACTCACCTGGGCACCACCAGGCCTTGAGCTGTGCCACTGCACCCTCTGTGCTGTGCCCAGACACTCTGGGGTGGCATTGCCACCCTGACCCGTGGGACTGGTGCCATTGCCTCACCTGGCACAGCTCACGTGTCTCAC